TGGACAAGAGCGCGCCAGGCACTCCTGTCTTCCACTGCATCCCACAGTTTGGTCAAACTCATGTTCGTAGCTTTCCAGCCATCTCATCCTCTGATCTCATCTCATCCTCTGAACTGTCCAGCCATCTTATCCTCTGTCGTCCCCTTCTCCTTGTTTCCCAACATCAGGGTCTTTTCCAGGGAGTCTTCTCTTCTCATGAGGTGGCCAAAGTATTGGAGCCTCAGCTTCACGATCTGTCCTTCCAGTGAGCACTCAGGGCTGATTTCCTTCAGAATGGAGAGGTTTGATCTTCTTGTAGTCCATGGGACTCTCCTCCAGCACCATAATTCAAAAGCATCAATTCTTCGGCGATCAGCCTTCTTTATGGTCCAGCTCTCACTTCCATACATCACTACTGGGAAAACCATAGCTTTAACTATACAGACCTTTGTTGGCAAGGTGATGTCTCTGCTTTTTAAGATGCTGTCTAGGTTTGTCATTGCTTTTCTCCCAAGAAGCACAGATAGATTTTGCAATTCCTCCAACCAGTATCTCTGCGGACTCTGCACAGTATTCAACAAAGCAGTTCCACTAGTGCAAGGACCTTCGGCTGAGCAACAGAACTTGACCTTCGTCTCCTCTCCTCTCCTTGTGTGCTTCTCCCAGGTCCCCCTAAATCTCCTCTGGGTCGTCCCCCCCCCCAATCCTCCACTGAAGATCTGGGGAGTGTGCAGGGAGAGGAAAGGGAGGGAAAGTTAGTGGAAATCCTTGCGTGAGCAGAAATGCTTGACTGGCTACTGCCCCTACCCTCTCCACTGGCATTCTGCTTATCATAATGATGGCAGATGGTCTCCTGCACAAACGTGAGCTTCCTGATTCATGGGCACCGCAAGCAGAAACCAAAACAAAGCATTGCAATGCAATGTGGTGCATTTCTGTTCATGCCAGCCATACCCTTCTCAATGAAACTCCATTCCACTCCCCCACCTGTTTCCTTCCATTAACTGCCAGTCAGAATTTGCGTCCAAAGACGCAATCCTCATTGGGCTATTGTAGGGCTTCTCCTTTTCCTTTAGGCTCCCCCCTCCAAATATATATATATATATGTGTGTGTGTGTGTGTGTGTGTGTGTATGTGTGTGTGTGTGTGTGTGTGTGTTTGTGTGTACTTTTGCAAACCTTGGGCTGGGGCAGGGAACTGTGGGCCTGCAGGTACCGTATTTTTCGCTCTATAACACGCACCTGACCATAACACGCACATCGTTTTTAGAGGAGGAAAACAAGGGAAAAAATATTCTGAATGAAACAGTGGACGTATCATTTTTGTGCTTCATGCTGTGGCCACAGACATGTGATCTGATGGTGAATTTGGGGTGACCCAATGCAAAAATCCTGAGAATCCCTGTGGATCCATGCTTTGTAACCACGTTTTTGCACCATTGCAGCCCCAGGCAACAGTGGGTGCGTGATTTTTTTTTGGGGGGGGGGACAGGCTGTAGCCATGGACATGCTATGTGCTCTGATGGTGAATTTTGGCTGACCCAATGCAAAGATCCTGAGGATCCATGTGGATCCATGCTTTGTAACCACATTTTAAGTGGGGAGGGAAGGAAAAACACAGAAGGCTAAGAATGCAGGAGAGGGCTATAATGTGAGGAAAGGAAGGCAAAAGTCCCCCCCCCCAACCCACCCAAGCCAGCCAGCGTGCTCTCTCTCTCTCTCTCTCTCTCTCCCTCCCACCAGCATGACAGAAGAAAGCATTTTAACTGCATTAAGAACTATTTAGCAGCGAAACCTAAGCTTTGCCATCCCTTAAGAGGTACAGACACTGTAATCTTCCAGATCGCATGAATTTACAGGCAAAACACTGTTTAAGGATTTCATCCTTTTAAATGGAAGAAAGCATATTTGAATGCTGTGTGTCTCCAAAAACAAAAAGCAGGAAGTCAAATCAGAATTTTAAGCCGAACCTGTAATCTCTCTTCCCTTTACAAACATTGTTCCCTCCGGAGCAGGGACAGGATAGAGCGACGCTCTGCTCTCCTCTCTACTTGCCTGGAGGGGAGGGGCTTTCCCTGCTCTTTGTTCGGACGCTCTGCTTTCCTCTCTACTTGCCTGGAGGGGAGGGGCTTTCCCTGCTCTTTGTTCCGTTTGAGCAAACACAGCAACGAAACAGAGCAGGGTGGGCAGTAAGACCCTGAGGCAGAATGCAGGAAAGCTGCAGCTTCCTGTCTCACGGAGCTCCCTTCTCCCTGAAGCGCGGTTTGATTTTTGCCTCATTTTTCGGCTCCAGGGACACACATTCGCTCCATAACACGCACAGACATTTCCCCTTCCTTTTTAGGAGCAAAAATCTGCGTGTTATAGAGCGAAAAATACGGTATTTGCCGACTTCTGGTGCGTGGACATTGCACATTTTTGGCTACCAATGCCTGGAGAATTGAAACCGCTATCAGTTTATACAGGCAGGTTTCCTAGCTAGCTGGTTATGACGGAATTTAGAGCAGCCTCTTTGCGGGGAGAACCTTAGGCGAACTGCAACAGGCAGGCAGGGGAAACCTTGCAGGTCATTGGGCTGCCAACTGGAAAAGCTCATTAAACGTGACATCAAGTCTACACGTAACAAAACCTACCTGTCTGTTGGAAGAGCAAACAGACCCAAACAGAAAACAGCAGCAGCAGCAGCACCCAGCCCCAAACACAACATCATTAGGTATGGCTCTGGTGTGATGTTCATTTAAAAGGAAGTTCCTGGGAGACAGAAATGCCACAGGAAATGTTTTTTCTCCAACCATCAGCAGGGATGGTGGTGAGATGACATTTCCAACAGCATCTTCCCAGTGCAGGCTTGCTTATTACAAGGCTCGTGTTGGCACTGGAGAGCAGATCACAGCTTATTTACTCCACCGAGATTGGGAGATTGATAACTCCGGGTCGCTGTCCTGGGAAAATAACTCCTACCTACAGGATGAAGGCAAAGGGACGCGGGTGGCGCTGTGGGTTAAACCACTGTGCCTCTTGGGCTTGCCAATCAGAAGGTTGGCGGTTCAAATCCCCGCAACGGGGTGAGCTCCTGTTGCTCAGTCCCTGCTCCTGCCAACCTAGCAGTTCGAAAGCACGTCAAGGTGCAAGTAGATAAATAGGTACCACTCCGGCGGGAAGGTAAACGGCGTTTCCGTGTGCTGCTCTGGTTCGCCAGAAGCAGCTTAGTCTTGCTGACCACATGACCCGGAAGCTGTACGCTGGCTCCCTCGGCCAACAAAGCGAGAGGAGCGCTGCAACCCCAGAGTCGTCCACAACTGGACCTAATGGTTAGGGGTCCCTTTACCTTTACAGGATGAAGGGAACCTGGGGTTTTCTTTAGCAACACCCCCTTGCTGACTATTTTGGACCAGCCCTGCCTGCGCACACAACAGAGTGAAGTGGTAGATCGCTGAGGCAACAGGCTGTACCACTTCAGACTGCAAACTGGTGTGTGTGTTGTGTGTGTGTGTCATTTTTGAACACTCCATGTAAAAGAGAACATGAACAGAGAAAATAGTTTCTCCTTCTCCCATAACATCAGACTCCTGGGTAGTCAGTGAAGTGGAAGGCTGGAAGGCTCCGGAAAGATTCTAAAATTACTTACCCACGCAGTGCAGGGTTTGAACTATGGAACTTCCTGCCATATGAGGCAGTGATGGCCACCAATTTGGATGGCTTTAAAGGAGGACTGGGCAAATTCACGGAGGAGAGTGCTAAGGCAGTTGCTGATTTGGCAGTTGCTGATTTATTCCAGGGTTGCGTGTTCCTGACTCCTATGCCAATGGCTACCAGCCGCATCATAGACTGGATAGCTCAGTTACTTAGAGCGTGGTGCTGATAGTGCCAAGGTTGCAGGTTCAATCCCCATATTCCAGATGATACATTACCGTGTATTATCTGACCCGTCTACTGCAATTATTAAGTTTGCAGATGACACCACCATAATGGGTTTAATAACAGGTGGAGACAAATCAGCGTATAGAGGGGAGGTCCAAAAAATATCTACATGGTGCCTAGGGAACAACTTGCACCTTAATATCTGCAAGACAAAGGAGATGGTGTTGGACTTTTGGAGGAAGAGAGGAGAACTAGCCCCACTGTACATCTGGGAGGGCTGTGTGGAGAGAGTTTCTTCCTTTAAATTCCTAGGAGTTTATCTCAGTGAAGACCTTACTTGGAAAATAAATAACAACCCAGGTGGTTAAGAAAGCCCAACAGAGACTCCATCTCCTCAGAGTATTGCGGAAGAACGATGTCAATCAACAATTGATGATCTCCTTCTACCGGTCAACAATAGAAAGTGTCCTTTCATACTGCATCACGGTGTGGTACGCTGGTTTGACATCAGCTGATAGGAAGTGCCTACAGAGGGTGGTGAACACAGCACAAGATATTATGGGCTGTCCCGCGAATCCGCTGGAGGAAATAGCGGAAGAACGTTGCCTCAGGAGAGTGAGGAAAATTCTCAGGGATAATTCACACCCTGGCCGGCACTTTCTTGATCTCCTGCCCTCGGGCAGAAGATATAGAAGCATGATTAGTCGCACCAACAGGGTAAAGAACAGCTTCTATCCGTGGGCTGTTAGGCTGCTGAATGAAAAGATAACAGGGCAACTGACTTTCAGGTTTGGTGGGTGTGCGTCAGTAAACGAGGGGAATTAAGACTAAGAGAGCTGAGTGGGGGTGCTCGTGTAATCTCACTGTATGCAAGTTGTACAAGCGACAATAAAGTATTTCAATATTCAATTTCAATTCCTGCCTTGCAGGGGGTTGGATTGGATGTTCGTCAGGGCCCTTTCAAACTCTACAACTCTATGATTCTATGACCCTGAGCTCAGGTCTTGCTTGTGGGCTTCCCATTGTGGCATCTGGCTGGTCAGTCAGGAAAGCAGGGATGCTGGACAGAGCAGCCCTTTGCTCTCTTCCAGCAGGGCTCTTTCTTGCGGCACAAGAACACTTTTGATCCTAGTCAGGAATGGGGCAAAGCAAAGCACTTACCCTCCGTTGAAAGGGTTCTCCCCAGGGATGATGTGTGTGCTGTCCTTGCCAACCAGGAATTTGATCCGGTCGTAGAACGAATAAAGGTTCTGCTGCGACACCGGGGGCTGTGTCTCCTGTATGATATCCAGGGGGTCCGGGGAGCCAAGGCAGAGGGTGTTGGTATGGCACAGGGGCTGAAGGCAGCAGTCCGGATCCATGCAGTCCATCAGTCCATCTGTGGGTCGGGCAGAAAAGGAAAGATATACACTCAATAGGGGAAGCAGAAGCAGGCGGCGGGAGCAATATTAAGAGCAGCGATAGTGTCAGGGATTTTTCAGCTGCTGGTCAGCACAGAGTCTCAGAGACAAGCAGTGAAGTTAATTGTCTAAGAAAACAGTATACAAACAGAGAATACAGTGGTACCTCGGGTTACAGACGCTTCAGGTTACAGACGCTTCAGGTTACAGACTCTGCTAACCCAGAAATAGTACCTCAGGTTAATAATAATAATAATAATAATAATAATAATAATAATAATAATAATTTATTATTTGTACCCCGCCCATCTGGCTGGGTTTCCCCAGACACTTTGGGCTGCTTCCACAGAGACCAAAAATACACTAAAATGTCACACATTAAAAACTTCCCTGAACAGGGCTGCCTTAAGATGTCTTCTGAATGTCAGGTAGTTGTTTATCGCTTTGACATCTGATGGGAGGGCGTTCCACAGGGAGGGTGCCACTACCGAGAAGGCCCTCTGCCTGGTTCCCTGTAGCTTTGCTTCTCGCAATGAGGGAACCGCCAGAAGGCCCTCGGCGCTGGACCTCAGTGTCCAGGCAGAACGATGGGGGTGGAGACGCTCCTTCAGGTATACTTCAGGTTACATACGCTTCAGATTACAGACTCCGCTAACCCAGAAATAGTACCTCAGGTTAAGAACTTTGCTTCAGGATGAGAACAGAAATCGCGCGGCGGCAGCGGGAGGCCCCATTAGCTAAAGTGGTACCTCAGGTTAAGAACAGTTTCAGGTTAAGAATGGACCTCCGGAACAAATTAAGTTCTTAACCCGAGGTACCACTGCACTCAGGGCAAGACTGGACCCCAGTAAAGCAGTTTGGTGCACCCTTCCCTCTGCGATTTGTGAGACAACCCTCCTGAAAACACATCTTTTTACTCCGGCCTTTCCTGATCCTCTAAGCTTACATCCTCCTTCTTTGCCCGTCTGCTATTTTTATTTTATTTTGCTGTTTATGCACAGTATCCATGCAACTCACTCAGCCAGCACAAGGATTCCCTTCTCAGTAGTGGCGCCTGCCCTGTGGAACACCCTCCCCTGAGATGTCCAAGAGATAAATAATTGTACGACCCAGTGCTTGACATTAGCCAGTGTTTTGACCACTTGCGAGCAAGTGAAGATGCCTGGCCACCAGGATGTCGTCTGACATCTCCACTATCTGAAGATGAGGGTACTTGGATCTGGGCTGTTTCCATACACACTAATACCCCATCCTGTATACTTCTCTCTGTTATATTTTATCTGCACAATTGGAATGAATTTCAGGAACCGAAATGCTTTATCTGCGGAGCCTGAGCAGGAGCAGTGAACAACGTTGTAGTTACGGTAACTGATGTGTCGTCTGTCTTCACTTACCCCAACCCCACTGCCCTGTTCCCAGTTGTGAAGAATATTTTTATGTTATGAATGGTCTGTGTTCACCATTAAGAAAAAGAGGTCGGAATGGGCCAGTGTGTATGTGTACCAGCCCTGGATCAAGTGACTTTTCTTCTTTAAGTTCTCAAAGCTCAAGGTTGTCATCTGAACTAACCAGATGTTTTAACTGAGAATCAACCACAGTCAGTCCACCCTTTGAAAAATTAGACATGAGAGCCGCCTTACCCCAAAATGGCAACTAGAAATTCCGTTTTGGTGACTGAAACCCTGGTTTAAGAAGCCATTTGGTGCCTGGCTGATATACCTGAGTTCCTATTAAGAATAATAAATAATAAATTTTTATTTATACCCTGCCCTTCCCGGTTCAGAAAACCGGGCTCAGGGCGGCTAACAACAAATTTAAAACACTTAATTGATGCAACAAAAAACAGCATAAAATACAGTATAAAACATGAATAACAATAAATTCAGAATTCAAAAATCAATTTGGGGGGGGGGATCCATCCAATAAACATTAGATGATCACCAGGGCTAGCTGGCTAAGTTAGCCCTATTTGAGCCAGCGAGGAGACCAGGGGAGAATTAGCTGTGGGATCCCAGAGCGTGTAATCTTCATAAAAAGAGGGGGGGGAGGAGGGAAGGAAGGGGAATAAAAGATCAGGCTACGTTCAAATGGAAAGCCAGGCGGAATAGCTCTGTCTTACAGGCCCTGCGGAAGGAAGTTAAATCCTGCAGGGTCCTAGTCTCATGGGACAGAGCATTCCACCAGGTCGGTGCCAACACTGAGAAGGCCCTGGCCCTGGTGGAGGATAATACTGATATGACCTTCTGTAGATGTGTGAAGGCGTCCTGTATGGGGAAGCTTTCCATGCCTGATGTTCTGTTGTGGTTCTGTAAATTCTGGGAAGTATTTCTGCCCCAAAATTGGTAGGGTGTGGGGGCTGTGGGAAGATTCAGGCAGGGACCTTACCTAGTCAATAGCTCAGTCTCATAACCGCTGAACTGTGCCAGCTCAGGTTTATAAATGTGGCTTCGGTCTCCCGACGCCCAGAATAACCAGATAAGCGATTGTGGGAAGAGAGAGCAACATTATTTATTAAATCCTTGCTGTTTGCCAAAAGACGTCATGTTGACAACTGGTTTTTTTTTATGATCGTCATTTTTATTTTTATTTTAAAAAAAGAAAGAACACAGTAGCAAGGGTCCGTTTATTTGCTTCTTTCTCTTTGAGGCTTTAAGCCTTCCTGGTTTTGTGTGTGTGTGTTTCTGCACAGGCTGTGTGCGGCTGAATCTGCCCAACAAACGCAGCTCCTAAATTTCCCTGAGCCAAAGGGAGCGTAATCCTGCAACACCCATTAAAAGTCAAGGGGAGCTGAGGATCCGCTTTCAGAGAGTTTTTAAGAGCCCTAAAGACGTCAGGGGGACGCGGGTGGCGCTGTGGGTAAAAGCCTCAGCGCCTAGGGCTTGCCGATCGAAAGGTCGGCGGTTCGAATCCCCGCGGCGGGGTGCGCTCCCGTCGTTCGGTCCCAGCGCCTGCCAACCTAGCAGTTCGAAAGCACCCCCGGGTGCAAGTAGATAAATAGGGACCGCTTACAAGCGGGAAGGTAAACGGCGTTTCCGTGTGCGGCTCTGGCTCGCCAGAGCAGCGATGTCACGCTGGCCACGTGACCCGGAAGTGTCTCCGGACAGCGCTGGCCCACGGCCTATAGAGTGAGATGGGCGCACAACCCTAGAGTCTGGCAAGACTAGCCCGTACGGGCAGGGGTACCTTTACCTTTAAAGACGTCAGGGGGGGAGGAAATGTCCTTTGTCATGCTAGCAGAATAAAGGAAACAAGGAAAGAGGAGCGGGCAGGAGGGGAAGGAACCTCAGCTACACATGGACAGGAAGAAATATTAGGTGCAAGGCTGCGTCTGCAGCATCCTTGCCTGGTCCCAGATGCTCCGCTGATGGTTTCCCCCCCGAAACACATGCCTACTGCCATTGGCAGTTTAATTTTGGCCTTTGCAGTCTTAATCTGAGGCAGAGAAGCCAAGGCAGAAGCCAGCAACGGATGCAGTCACCCGTTCCAGCTGTCCCGCTGAAGCGGATGAGAACAAATTGCAAGCACACGGGGACCTGGTCCAGGTTGGAACCGAAACAGGGACAAAGGGGCATTGGGAGAAGGGCCACCGATGGCTATGAGCCACATTGGTTGTGCTGGGGCCCCACAGTCAGAGGCAGGAAACGCTTCTGAATGCCAGCTGCTGGAAGCCACAGGATGGGGGAAGAGTTGCTCTCGTGCTCAGGTGTTGCTTGCAGCTTTCCCACAGGCATCTGATTGGCCGCTGTGAGAATAGGATGCTGGACTAGATGTCCCATTGGTCTGACCCAGGAGAATCTCCTTCTGTTCTTAAAGGTAAAGGTAAAGGGACCCCTGACCATTAGGTCCAGTCGTGACCGACTGGGGTTGTGGCGCTCATCTCGCTTTACTGGCCGAGGGAGCCAGCATACAGCTTCTGGGTCATGTGGCCAGCATGACTAAGCCGCTTCTGGCGAACCAGAGCAGCGCACGGAAACGCCGTTTACCTTCCCGCCTGAGCGGTACCTATTTATCTACTTGCACTTGACAAGCTTTCGAACTGCTAGGTTGGCAGGAGCAGGGACCAAGCAACGGGAGCTCACCCCGTCGCAGGGTTTCGAACCGCCGACCTTCTGATCTGCAAGTCCTAGGCTCTGTGGTTTAACCCACAGCGCCACCCGCCTCTCTTGTATTAAAAACCAACAAATGCATTGGTTAGGCACACTTTCTCCAAATACATGCATCGTTGTACACACTAGTTGGTCGGGAAACTGCACTGCAAAATCCAGAGGTGCAAAGGGGACAGCTGTGTTTTGCTTCACATATTATTATTGGTAGTTTCCAATTAAAACGCGAAAACAATTATCAAATTTCTTCCCCATTTATGTTCCAGTTATACTCCAAGCTGTCAGCCGAAAGCGCTACTTTGTGGGAAGAAAATTCTTGTGCAGGCATGTCCCAAAATTGCAGCGCATATATGTGTGTGTGTGTGTGTGTATATATATATATATATATATATATGCAATATTGACCAGGAGCAACTCCAGCTTTGAGCAACACTCTCTGACAATAACAACCACAGCTTCCATTCTGTTTTGAGTCCAGATTGCCTGTCCAAAAAACCACATTTCACCCCCCCTCCACTCCCCCAAAAGGCAATTTTTTGTCCTCTCTCATAGAAGCAGAGATTACAGCCTAAATCCACATATTTGACACATCTGGTGTGGTGAATGGCATCGCTGCTTTGAGCCTGTTGTAAACAGAAATGAAGACGGAGGTATCTAGTTTCGCGGGAGAGAAGAAAGTGTCCTTTGTTTTATAGCATGTATGTTTTTATACACTGGCGTGGGGGGGGAGCGAGAGACGGGCGCAGTTTCTGCACCTTCATTTCTAAATGTTTTTCCAAAGGAAGTAATCTGGGCCATTTACCACACCAGATGTCAAAACTATCTTAAGCATTCGATATATGTTTTGAAAAACCACAACCTTGGGTCCTTCTGCA